GCGCGCAAAACACGCGCGCGCGCATTAATATACACATGCACACGATTAGATGTAAACGCGGAGGCTGTTAAGGGCTGCTTCACAGCACACAAATCGCAATCGAGTTGCACGCGAGTCTCTTCCATAAACAGATTGACCGACGCCCAGCGGTAGCACACGCTCGCATACACCGTCATGACGTCATATTTTGTGACTAAGTGAGAGAGAAAGAGAGAGGACGCACGAAACGTCGACCGAGCGTGTCGAGTTGTGTTGCGTGTTACACAGCTGATGTGTATTACTCGCGTAGCATACCGGGTGTCTGTATCCGAATCATTTTTGTTTGTCCCAGAAACCTCTTGTTAGATTATGATAAATCGCAAATTTTGGAAATAATTTTAATGTCGAGTATTTCGCTAAATTTTTGAAAAAATCGTAAAGTAATCGTTTTCTCTGACAAATAACATCTTTACAACGTGAGAAAATTATCTCGATAATGCAAGGTACAAACAGATTAAGCGAAAAAATTTTGGGTCGCCAGAGCATTTCTTTTAAAAATAATAATAGCGTTATCCTAATTTTCGCGAGATTATAAAGCGCAGTTGCATAGAGGGGCAATTGCAAGCACATGAGCGAAAGTTTGCGTGTAACGGATTTCAAAATAGCGAAACACATTGGATGCACGTGGTTTAACACCCGGGATAATAATGCTCTATGAAGAAATAAAGTTCACACGCTAGCGCAACAACCGTGGATGCACCCAAGAGTAACGCTCCCATTGCTTCGAGACTCAAATTTACAAAAAAGTTTCTCCCTATTGTGTAAAAATACACGACAAATACTTGCGACATCAAAAAAGTGTCATAAATATATACATATGAAATAATACTAAATATCAGCAATTATAATTAAACGTTTCCATATGTTTGCGACGCTGGTTTGTGTGAACGCGGATAGTTTAATTAATCCTTTCTTATTCGCCAATTTGTTTCGTCTCGTATATAATTACATACTCTCGTATATAATTGCTCATCGATTAATATGATGTTAAATTGAATTAAACGAGCCGCTTGCAAAACAATAGATATCAACTATGCTCTTCCGTCTTTCCATACGTCTCCATACGATTCCATCTCCTAATATTATATCTTACAAGTTATTATCGCATATTAAATTAGAATAATCAATTAATTTTAATCGTTAAAACTTGTTCCATTCAATCTGTAAGTCGCTCGAGGGAGGAGGGGAAGAGTCGAACGCGTTTTCGTTACGATGACACGGATTTATTCGTGACACGCTGAACCCACGTGTGTCGCAACACAACGTACTGTGCAACAGACACAGTATTACCAATGAATGTGAATGCGTGTTATGCACCTGGATGCGTTTTGCACGTGCATGTCAATGTAAGAAGAAAAAGTGGAAGAAAGAACGGAAGCAAAGAAGGAAGGGATCGTGTGGGCAATGCCAATATTTATTTTATATCCAATATCACCGAAAATTGCAAAGTTAGATTGCCACGAAAATTGTACAAGTTTCGAGAGTAAAGAAAAGAGCAATCGCACGCGAGATTATTCTTCCACAATAAAAATAAATAAACAAAAAGAGAGAAATCTCTTTATTTTAGAAATATTAAAAATTAAAGAGTTATCTTTTTTTAGGCTCATTATTATTTACTTTAATCATACACTTGTACATTTGCTGTATAGTTGAGAGAAAATAGACATAAAACACACACATTTCACGTATATATATATATATATAAAAATATTTGTTTATAAAATTTACAATCCCCTTCATGTATTGTGAAATTATCGGTTACATTCATCTATGCTTTGACTTTAAAATTTGTAAAAATTTTAGAAATCTCAATCTGCCATTGAGAATGTGAAAAAATGTGGCCGAGTAAATATTGCAACACGCTTGGACAAAAAGCACCGATGTAAAAAGTGAAAACGATGATTTATCCAGACATTATATGTATTTCTTGATTATAAGACGTAAATGTGTATACATAAAGAGATTATAGATTAAAAGTTTGGAATAAATTTAGAAATGAGCCGCGTTTTCCTGGTCTTGAATTCAACGATTATTTAATTGCGAAGCGCAAATTTTATGCTGAATAAGTATAATGTAAAATGCAGCAGGATTCATTTTGTTACATTTGCCGAAATGCTTGTGATATTTAATCGTTTTTCACGATATTACTGAACTATTATTGTATCCGATTATACAAGATAAATGTACGTTATTTTACGTATACATATGTATAAATAACATTTCGATATTCCATTGTTTTATTGATATTTGTACATGGGCAATGTATGTTAAATCTTACAATTTTAATAATAATAAGCTGTATATGTATGTGTGCAATATACTGATATATTTATATATTTATACCGATATATTTATAAAAAATCAAAACAATTATATATTTACAAGATGAAGCGCGTCTATTTGAAACAAAGATCGGCGATAAACTAGTTGCAAAGATTAACCAACATGTATGTAATAACGTAATACGGCTCGAGAAATGCTGTTCCATCCATAAATTTTGCATCTTTCCTCTCTTCAATTAGTTTCTCTTGTACAAGCACACTGATAATTTCAGAGTTCAACTAATAATCGAATAATCAATTAGAGATATTTAGAGAATCTACAAATCCTCTCCCCCTCCCCTTCCCGGAAGAAAGAACAGGCTCGTTATACATTTACCATTTTTGCCATTTCGCTGATAATGACGTTCAGTACATATGATAACGATTATCATATGCATATGTAAATCTTTGTAAAATACGATCCGTTCCGCGCGTGGAAACACATAGAAAAGCGGAAAAGAGAGAAAAAGGAATCACGAAGATTGTTATAGTCCAACATATCGTGCCAAAGTACGAAGGAAAGAGATATATTTTAAACATATCGGCGTAAGATAACTCGATAAATGTAACGTCGTCGTGCAAATCTGTGCCTGTAATAAAATCATTTTCGATATTAATTAATCCGCCACTTTGCGCTCGCTCGCTCGTTCGTTTAATCGAAACGAATTGCGCGATATAATCCAACGCATTTCGAATGATGAAAGATGTAAAAAAAAAAAGCGCGCCACATCTTTTCGCCCTCTAAATCGCACAAATAGGTTCTTTGACCAATTAAGGTAATTATCCGAAACAAAGTACTATTTTGTCTAATTTTATACAATTCACTTTTATTATTCTAGCATTTCAACTTTCAATTATGTAGATTGACTTTATTAACTTTGTAGATGGATAGATAAATTGTTTCTTACGCGTGCATCATTTACATACAGAATTCAAACACACGATATGTCAGTTTTATAGATTTCTCGTTGATAATAAATGACTTTAACAAATAATAGCTCGCGTTACGTTCGAAATTAAAACGCGTAAGAAATAAAAAAACACACACATATGCTGTAAAAAATGAAATTCTACCTTATAAGATTTCATTATCGAAAAGTGGCACGCTTCTCACACGCACACACACGATATATATTTTAATACTTTCGCGATGTCACAGCTCTAGATTGTAGATTGCGATCGAATCGCTTAGATTACACAACACGGGCTTACTGTTTAAAAATCGGAGCAGAGTGGCAAGTTTGGTCATAAGTCCGTATCGATACGACGTAACAATTGATAAACGTCTACACGTGAAATTATATCGCGCTTTCTTCATTTCGTAACATTTTCCTCTCTTCGTAAATCTTCTCTTTCTCGCGTGATGCAAGTTTAGAAATAGATAAGCGATCAAATTCCAATAATCCCCTTTACAATTATGAATAATATGCGCACATATATTTTTTATGAATAATATGCGCACATATATTATTTTCAACAAAAATATACGTCTACAAATTACAATATTCAAATTGAAAATTACACATTCCCTTATTGTAATAGAGTTGCGTATAATAGAATAAATAAATTAGCGGCACAACTAGTCGGGATCCTTTCAGCTTTGCTTTGTCCTGTAACGCGTTGAATGCGTCAAGTATAAGTTTGCATTCGCATTACATTTCCATTATTACGCGCAACTTGTCAATCTCGACTTGTTCATTTTGGCTCGTTTGTTTTAAATACTCTCTCTCGCATTTATTTATTCATCAAACTTTACAACATCATCGCCAGCCAATATTCATATGTTCTCCTTCCACACGACCCGACTCTACATTTATTATTTACTTTTTATTACAATTAATTTATACATTTATCTCTATGTAACAAATAAATCTCCGATGAAAATTCAAGTTAAAATGTCTGACAATTATGCTTCAAACGGATCAATGAACCTAACGAATCGACGATATGTATTTGGAGCTCGTGCTAGCTGGCTAGAGAATGAAGAATATGATGAGAAGAAGAAGAGCAGGAGGAAAATGGGGTTACGGAAGAGATGGGCTACAGATATGCGCGATGTCATATAATCTTATCGTCGATCGCGAGTGATTCAACTTTGAACTTTTCGTCGGACGAAAATATACCCACGGATTCGGCTATCGAAGTGGCACGACTTGAACGAGAACGCGCATATATAACGAAACGATGATATTTTCGCAGAAACATTTTGCCAATTTCCATTCGATCGAAATTATCCGTTGAAAAAATGGCGAATAAAGACGATCGGTTATCCGTCTCAAACGTCGGTCAATCCACGCAGCCTGTAATCGTGCATCTTTACAAAAATAATATTCGAAAGAGAGACGAAAAAACTGATTAAACTGCACGATTACAACTTTAATTGCATCAGATACGCAATAACGTGCCTTTAAAATATTTCGCAGCGTTACAAGGAGTAATGGAAAAACCCCCCCGTTTTAATACAAGTACATATGTCAAAAAATTTACTCTATAATATATGTGTGTGTGTGTGTGTGTAAAATTTGACGTTATCGATGTAAAAAGGTTTTGCTCCATCGATCGTAATATCGATGCGGATTTAACGACGAATTTAAGATGGACGAGTTGGCTCGGACGGGATAAAGTGTCAAAGAGACTTACTCATCGTCCGGAGCAACGTCGAAAATTACAGAGCGAGCTGACAATTCCAGATCGGTAAATCCGCCCACAGCTGGCGTGGCGTGCAGCGTGGAGAAGAGCACCACCATTTCATCGCTCAATTGCATCCCGTACACCACGAGTGCACTTTCCATTTAGACGATGACGACGGTTTCGCCGCAGCGTGATCAATCGCACCGCGCAAAGGCATTACTGGGATGCGCGCGTACACATATACACCCACACGTGAGAACGAGAAAGAGAGCGTAATCGCCGACACGCTCGAGCTCGAGCGAACCATCACACCGCCGTGTACCAGTCTGCGAAGATGCACTGTGAAGAACCGGCGTAATCTCGTTACGAAGAAAGGAAGAGAGAGAGAGGGAGGGAGGGAAGGAGGGAGGGAGGGAGGGAGAGAGAGAGACACCGCACGCTACGTACAAGCGCGATTATTTACGATACCATCGCGATGCGAAGAATACATCGACCTCTCCATCAATGAAATCAACACGCTGGCGGAAATGCAATTTTGACAAAAATGCAAACAAGTTTAACAAACCATGACCGCGACACTCGCCAACAGATAGCGAGCAAGAGAGAAAGAAAGAGAGAGAGAGAGAGAGAGACACGCACACTTTTAACCGATATTACAATCGTTCCACAGAGAAACGTACAAACCAAACACAATGGCACTTTGATGATGAAACTTGCGGGATTCGGCGTAAAGATAGCGACGAGTCGAACGTGCCGAGAGTCACCGTCCAAAATTACAGCGCACAAAGACGTTCCCGCACGCGTCGTTTTCGCGTCGGTTCTCGAGGAGATATTCCGGCGGAACGGCGCGACTTTTACGCGACGAGGACGAGGCGAACGCTGGCGAGGAGAAACGTAGCGGATCCGTGCGGTCTCGACGCGTTTAGCAGCTCCATCTTGCCTCGACTCGACTCGGCGGCGGCGGCGGCGGCGGCCGTAGCGGTGGCGGTGGCGGTGGTGGTGGTGGTGGTGGTGGTGGTGATGGTGGTGGTGGTGGCGATGGTGGAGGAGGTGGAGGTGGAGGTGGTGGTGGTGGTGGCGGTCGTTGGGCGCTCTCCGAGTCAAGTCCCGCGCGCACACGTTCCTTCAAGTCGTTTGCTCGCTCATTCGTTCGTCCATCCGTTCCTTCTCGGTCCCTCCGTCTCCCTCTCCCTCTCCCTCTCTCTCTTCTCTCTCTCTCTCTTTCCCTCTTACGCACACGTACCCGCGCGCGCGAGCCTGTCGGGAAAACGCTCGAGCCACTCTCACCAACACGATAGATCCATTGTGAGAGAGAATTCCTGGCGGCGCATTCCGCGTGTACGTAAGAGTACGGCGGCGAAGAGAGCCCCGTGAGACAAAAAGCAAGAGAGAGAGAGAGAGAGAGAGAGAGAGAGAGAGAGAGAGAGAGAGAGAGAGAGAGAGAGAGAGAGAGAGAGAGAGAGAGAGAGAAATAGAATCCCCGAGACCCGACTCTGACTCGGACTCGAGCAACTTGTGGACGTAACGCTCGTTACAGGGGCAAAGAGACGGAAAGTGGAGGCGGAGGTGGAGGAGAAGGAGAAAAATGTACTCTCGCGAGGAGGGGAACGGGGAAGAAACGGAGAAGACGTAGGAGAAAGCAAAAGTGCGCGCGGACGTACGTCTAGGGGAGGCGGGAGGCAAGCGAGGGGCGGGGGAAAAAGAAAGGAACCGATATCCCGGAGGGAGCGAGAAGCGGAGGGAGGAATTAACGCATGCCAACGAGAGGAGGAACGACGGAAGAAAAACGTAAGAGGAGGGGAGGGAAAGAATCGTGTATGGTCGTCGTATAAATAGACGAGAGGCGATATAGTATAGCTCTTGGGACAGGTAGGGATGCTCGTAACGCGCGCTCGCTTCTTCCTACCCAGGGTGGGCGCAGCCGAGGGAAGGACAGAGACGGAGAGAGCGAGTCACCGATACCCCCGCGTGGCGCACACAAGGCCGAGCGACCGAGAGGAGAGGGTGGTGCGCACGCACGTGCACGCACAAATGCGCCGACATAGTAAGCCGTCCGAATTTACTCTCGCGTTCGCGTACAAATGCACGCGCGCGGGTATTTCAGCTTTACGCGTGCTCGTAATGCGCCATATATCAAGGAGAATCAACAGGAGACGAGAGGAGAGCCTACTACGGGATCGCGCTATCTATCCTCCTATCCTCGCCGTTCCAGTGACCGGAATCGTGGGGTCTCGTTGTTTCCCAGAGCGTGTCGCGTGCACCGATGCCAGTGTCGTTTCACCGAGTACGCTCGCTCGCTGCGCGGTAGTCTTTACCGATCGGGAAAATTGCGCGCGCGCGCGCGCGGCCGTGACAGTAGGCCCGATGGCAGAGAACGAGACGTAAGGTGAGACGAAGAAAAATGCATATGCAACTCGCGTCTCGTTCTCTGCCATCAGCCAAAACGACGACGACAACGGCAAGGATTAAACCGACGGCCCCAAATTATCGACATCGTTATTGTCGTCCCCGCGTTAATGCGCCTCGCGATGATCCTTTCGTCTCCCGCGACGTCTTCTCCCCCGAATCCCCCACTACATCCTTCGCGATGAATCTTTCCCCGCTCTCCCGCTCGCTCGCGCGCGGATACCGACTCGAGATTCGATTGCTCAACCGAGCCGCTCGCGATGAACCGAGCATAACCGAGCACACAGCCACATGTGAGCGCGCGCGCATAGCGTACAAAGAGACATACGTCGCGTAATCTCGCGCCGCTACTATTAATCCGATGCCCTTGCGTCTTGTCCAATTTCCCGGCGCCGTCCAATTTCCCCCTCGCCTCCTCCCGCCGCTATCTTGGCCTCTCTACGATGATATCGGTCCCTTGCTCGTATCTGCGTTTTACTCCGAGTCTGGACGAGCCGAAACGACGCGCGCACTTGCGACAACCAAAGCTGTCGCGCTCACATTTAACGCGACACGCGCGCACACGCACACACCCGCGCAGATGTGTCGTACGTATGGCAGAGCCGCGCTTACTCTCGCTGGGTGACATGTATCTCGCGTCCGCCTCCACGCACAGACTCCGGCCAGGCGCACTCACACGGACGGATGCACTTGCGCACGCTCGGTTATTCCGCACGCTGCTGACGCGAGTAGTGGCGGCGCAACGGCTCGTTCGACACGCGCGACCATCGATACTATTGTACATATAAGAGAGCCTCTAACCCGGAGCGGCGCACACCTACGCGTACACGGCAACTAGCCGTCCGTCCGTCCGTTCGTCCGTCTGTCCGTTCGTCGTCACCGCAGGTCGTCGCCAACTTGTAAGCCTCAGGAGCGTAGTCGGGACGCGTCGCGCTGCCCCGTTTCATAATTCTCCTTTTTCGTTGTTTATAAAACTGAATAAATTTGTCGATGCGCGATAGCCATTTATTTTAGATAAAATGTGAAAAAATATTCATGCTGCCGGCGAATCAAATATAATTTGTTTAAATTTTAAAAAAGCGGTTTTTTATCATTTTTAAATGCTATAAGATTTTTTGCCCACGGCTTACTTTTTTAACAATTTAGAAAGATTAATTTTAAAGTTTGTGGAAAATTCAATGCGGATCGACTTGCTCGACAAGTTTAATTATTTCTTTTTAATAACGCAACTCGAGAGACAAATATACGCAGCTGCATATACTCTAGTCCACTTTCTTAAGAACTCGACTTTTGAAAGCTTCGAGATATTAATTTGAAAAATTAAATTCAAAAATATCAAGTCTAGATCAATTTTCTCGAGTCTTTAATAAAAAAAAGTGAATAAGGTTAAACCTGCACCGAAGCTTTCAAATTGATATCATATTTGTAATGAAAAATTACAAGTACAATATTTGGTAATTAGCGCAGTTGATGCACGCAACGATATTCCTCGTTGGAAGCGGAAATGGTATTTCCGTGATGAAAATATCGAGACGTGAAGAGTTTTTGAATTATGACAGATAAAGAGTGAGGTTTTGATAAAATGTGTGCTTCCCATCCAGACGTATATATACGTTTATATTTATATATATAAGCAGAGGATAAAATCTTATATATTCTTTTTAAGCAAACCAGTCTTACTAATATTACTAATTGAGAAATTATCGCGCTTTCAACATTTCTTCAACAACATAAATTTAAAAATGTTTAATTTGTTCGATTTGAATGCCTTAATATGACAAGTTTTAAATAGAAATAAAATCTCTTCCAAAAGATGTAACGTAATTTGTTATTATTTGACTTATTCATATTGTTGCATAAATAATTGCTTTGTAATAGATGATTGCGAATAGAAAGAAAACAGTCTCTTGCAGACTTTGTATTACGTTATATGTATATTTTTAGCAAGATGATTATGAATCTCTATCTTTCCTCTTTGTCTATCTGTCCATCTATCTCACTGTTTGTCTTTTTGTCTTCTCTCCCTCTCTCTCTCTTTCTCTTTGTGAGCTGATTACACGCAGCTGATAGTCTCGCATCGACAACTAACTGCTAGTTGAATCGCGACAAACTATGAATCATCCAAATAGACCAAGTAGTCATACGCTATTTCAGAGTTTCGATCTGCTTTCAAATAGTTGAAAGAATGATAAATCAAATTCAATTTATGAATATTTATTATTATTAGTGTTATATTTGCCAGGAATCGGAGCATTTGATATTTCGCGTCATTTTTTCAAATGGCGAATCTTGCTTGCTATATTTTTTATTTGTATAGCTTAAATCATTTGAAATTCTCTCAACCATTTCTATTCATTTCTTTCTTTAGGCAAAATTTAATTTTTTAATTAAATGACTGGCATAAATGGCTGGCATCTATTTCTCCAATTTCTCCAATTTTGAATTACGCGGAAAATAATATTTCTTGCTTATATTTTAGAAGTATCAATTTAAATTTTTTGACAGAGATCCTCGCAAGAAACAAAAATTTTACTTTTTATCAAGAGTATTTATTTCCTCTTATTTTATCGTATTTCAAGATAAATTTTTATTCTCGAAATTTGTTGGAAAATGGAAAATAAACTCACAGCTTTACATTTTATTATTTATTTGGAGAATATCAAGAATCTCTCTTTAAGCACTTGTTGAAGAGTTAAATGAATTCGTGCATCTTTTTATTCTCCATCTGTCAAGTATCGCGAATCATACTTTAAGATTGTTTTAAGAACGAAATAGATGTATGACGTAACGATTGCCTCTCGTACGTTATGCGCGTAAGCGTTCGGGTCGAGTTTGCGCGCATCACATGTATATATATATATATATATATATATATATATATATATATTTGCACGTATGCACATAGTAACTTACTACTGCATAGCTAAGTAGAGATGTTACACGCGAACAATCAACTTTATAATAAAGCCGGAAAAAGTAAAATAATATGAAAAGTTTATAGTTTAAAGTAACATTAATTGGGAAATTTGTTAATAACAATTGGTAGAAATGATAAGACACGTAATAATTTTAACAGACCATACAGTTGAGATTTTGATCAAAATTATAACAAAAGGCCATGAAAATATTATCAACTGTTTTTGGAATTTTTGGCGTCGCTCCGACAATTATTGTACAACGGATATAAAATTGTGCATCAATTTTACAAGGTATACTTCTCTTGCAATTTATTGTGAGAGAAAACGCGATTAAATGAATCAATTTTGTAACGCGTCAGTTTATGTAGACATATAATAAATCTTGTGAAAACTTGTGACTAATGCAGATTAATTCAGGAAATAACTTATAAGCTAGACAAGATAAAAATCTTGTATACGAGAAGAGATTAAAATTTATCTTTATAAAAAAGTGCTTCGGGATAAAACAATGATTCTTAAAGAGAGAGAGAGCGACTAGAAGAGTTATCACACACATACGTAATAATAGTAGCGGTAAGGTAACGCGAATACCAATATGCTACACCACTCGATACAGCACCAGCAGTAAGATGCTGTTGAATGGGCCGCGGCCTATTGGCTGATCTCGGGTCACGTGCACACGCTAGACATTCATTCTCCCCTCGCAACTGGTCTGCATATAATTTGCACACATGCCTCGGCTGCGCGCGCCCGCCATCGCCATTGCCGTCGTTACGATACAACTTCATTCTAAAATCACCGCGCAAAATATTTCAACACACTTTGCGTTATATGACGAGATGAGTAAGAGACGAACGCGAGACGCAAATCGCTCTTGCAACGTTCCGAGAACGCCCAAGTTGTCCGCAAATAGCACGACTCTTACACCGACTCCAAACCAAATACCTTTTCTCCAAACTCAAACGAGTAACATTAACATTTTATATAAAAAAGAGACGATATATGTAAAAACTCTACCCGTAATTAATTTTTACGTTATTTATAATTTTACATGGATACGCGCGAGAAATAGACAGAGATTTACTCTACATGATTATGTATAATTTTAAGGACACAAATTGAATTTGCAATTATTTTTTGTTTGGGAAATTGCATGTGGTACAAATACATTTTTTTATACAATATCATATTTATGTAAATTTTTTTATAAAGCTACAAATTTAATTAGAAGCAAATTAAGTTTAATTTAAAATTATACATATTGTAAACATATCTTTTTTATCTTTAATTATAATGTCAAATTTTTTAAGATAAGGTTTGATTGAAAGAAAAATATAATTTTTTTTTCTTTAAATTTTGTTTAAATTACAGCACTCTCATACTATCTTGACAAGTGTTAACGTTAAACTTGTAATGACTGTAACGTTTTGAATGAGTATTATATTGATATATTATGCGGCATTTACAAATATCGTGAAAATTTAAAGAATTAAAAGAAACAGTTTGGAAGAATTTAATTTGCTCTATTGAACTTTTGGAAAAGATTCAAACGCAAACAAATCATTTATTTCTTTATTATTTGTAAAATATTAAAATTAAAAAATTTCTGAATAGTGCAGCTGATTAGTTTGACTTCTGAGAAATTCAACATCATCAATGTATAATTATTAATACTATATTGTACGATGAAATATTAATGGTCGAAATGGAAATTGCCGTAGATGACGAAGCGAGCGAGAAGCTAATAGTAAATTATACAATGTTGCGCGCGTCTCTCACTTACGTTTTGTACGTGCGTGAGTAGAACTATTACACACGAGCGTCCGAGTAACGTAAGTTTCTTTTTCTCGCCTTCATTGCATATTGCGGGCGCACGTGTATCGATCGCTACTTAAATCGCACAGTTACTCTTATCGCGGGACATGAGAGGATTCCAAAATTGCCAGCGCGCGTCGATGGATTGTTGAGAAATCGACAGTTGAGACGCGTATAGTTTAGCATGTTAAGATGAATGAAAAACTGCGGGAGGCAAGAGAGAGAGAGAGAGAGAAAGAGAGAGAGAGAGAGATAGAGAGAGCGTGTCAAACGATTGACGGTGCATAGCCACGTGATTGCTGCCAAGTGCTTACGCGTTCCAATGACGAAAAAAAAAAAATAAATAATAAATTTAAGGAGAAGATAACTGACAGCATCTGACAACAGGTGATATTTACAGTCGCCGTTTTTTCGAGCAGTGTTTATGGCGGACCTCACGCAGACTCCGTTATCTTACCGTCCCGCGAGAGCAATCGCGCGCGCGATTACATTCGCGCTTATCTCGATATCGCCAAGAAATGCAAAAATGAATCGTTCGCGTCGAAAATTGCACGCGTGCGGATAGTCGAAGAATCCTTACCTCTCAGAATGACGGCATTTTCTTCATCAATTGGTCCTGTATCGAATGTGCGTCCCATCTCGACAAATATAATTTACTTGCATTTATTCCTCGAGACGCGCACGATTTTTTTAGAATTAAAAAAATATAATTTTATCGGTCAGCATGATAGCTCGATCACAGATTTTTATCGCTATTGATTCGTATCGCGCGTTACAAAAATGTAGCAGCACAAAGTATCTCGAGTTAATCGCAACGACGTTGACGAGTGCGCGATGAGGATCGGTAAAGAAGTCGCGATTGTCCTTCCACGATGTCGCCTCCGCACCCCGTAATCAGTGGAAGACTAGACTGCTCGGCAGCAGCATCGCCACATCACCCCTTCTCGTACGCTATTATTATAACCGATATAGAATCAATCGAAAGTCGCCGTACGCTCGCTTGCGTCATCCACCTATCTCCCGCTTATTACACGCTTGTATTCCAATTGGTTAACGCGTTCACTGTTCACGTCATCATTTTCATGCGTTCCTCGAATGATGTTTCAGACAC